GCAGGCCCCTCTAAGGTGGAGAGGAACCAACGACACAAATATTCGTCTGACGCCCCCACCATCATCATGCTGTTCTGGTATTTGGTGTAGTGTTCCTGGGGGTCCGTTTTCCCATTGTAGGGCTGTATGTGCTGCCCTCGGTATTTTTCCGGGATCCGGGCCGCCAATACCCTTGGGGTAAATGGCGTCCGAGTCCGGAGCTGGATGACGGGTTCCCCGGAGCCCTCGGCCACCTTCTTCTGTAATTCCTCCATTTTGGCCATCATGGCCTCGTATTTGAGGTCTGAGTGAGGGGTGGAGGTGGTGGCGTGAGCTTTGTTGGACTCCATTTCATCAAGCCGGCGTTGGAGGGCCGCAATAATCTCGTCCCGGGGATCCTTCGGGAGGGTCTCCGCCCCCTGCGAACGAACCCGAGCCGAGTGGGCCTGGTTGATCTGGTGGCGAGCATCATTGGCATGAAGGGGTGCCTTGCCTTTGTCCCGAGGGGGACGCTCCTCGTCTGCCCTCGAGACAGACCCTCCGCTTTCCTGGGGCCTTTGGAGTGCTTTCCCTCCGAGGCGGTCTTGGACCCCTCGGCGGTCTGGCCCTCCTCCGAGCCGGTCGAGGGCAGAAGTGCGGGGCCTTTCTCTGTTGTCATGGTGGCGGTCCCGGGACTGAACTTCCTGGGAGGACGTATCTTGGGCCACTACCCCTTCGTCATTCCTAACCCGAGGGAGGGGGTTGCCGAAGGGGTGTGGCAGAGGGGGAAGTATGATGTTCTCCCCAACCTGGGGTTGAGCCGGAGCCAGGGTGCCGAAGGCACCCGGGTTCTGAGTGAGCGTTTGGATGAAGGCGGAGAGCGCCGATTGCACGTCGATGGTGAGAACCGGAGGGCTGACTTGGTCATCGCTCCGGTTTTTCTTTTTGGCCTCGATGCCGAGGCGGGCATCGGGGGCATTCTGTTGGATCTGAAGGCGTAGGTCAACAGCCGCCTGTTCCAGCCCGGTGATGACACCGCCCTCGGGAGCCCTGTGAGAGGCTTCGGGGGTGTTGACGTCGCCGAGGGCCAGGTTCTTGTCTTCTACGTTTTTTGAGTTGGCACGTGTTGTTCTCACCATTTTTGTAGAGGGCCAGTGTTTGGCGAAGGGGGAGGGTTTCTTACTTGATCGTTCGACCTCTCAACGAGAGCACCAAATGATGGATAGTCTACCCTGGGGTATATATCCGAAGGGTTATTGCTGGGAATAACTTAGAGAGGAGTCAGAGCACAAGTAAGAGAGAGAGAGAGCGTATTCAGAATGAATGTCGTGGTTACAAATGGCGAAATGGGGGACTATTTATAGTAGCAATAAATGCCAGACAGGGACACGTGTCAAGCGCCTATTGGCCGAGGGGTCACCTCAACTGGTTGGCGCTGGCAGCCGCATGTGGCCGCATTTAATGCGGCTGTTGGATGGGACGTCTGTACAGGGTACGATGATCTGCACGCATGTGAGGCGGATATCTTGTCGAGCGAGATGCCTTCGGCTATAGAGCAGTAGCCGAGGGCTCCTCAAACCGATGGCACCCTGGTGCCGAGGGCTCACAGTGCCGAGGGCTACTGTTTTCGCCGTTTTCTCCCACTTTCTTAGTTCGCTTGAGAAACCTGTTCTGTGAGAGTTTAGAGCCTTCAGCCAGGGGGCCGAAGGCACCCCTGGCGCGTAGTGCGGGCTGCTTGGTACTCCGGGCGCTGTGATTTGGGCTTGCTGGGCCTTCTGGGCCTCTACTGGAGTAGTAGGAGTCTGTGGGCCGGGTGTTCCCGGGCCATATACTCTATCAGGAGAATAAGAGAATTAGAGAGTAGAGAGTTAAGAATAGGATTTAGGAAGAATTGGAGAAGAGATATGAAAAAATGTTTAAGATTAGGAGTATTTATAGGTTTTTTTACCCCCCACCCCCCCACCACCCAACCCCCCCGGACCCCCCCTTTACCCCACCCAACGGCTATATAGCCGTTTGGGTTGTCCCCAGCCCCACCCCCAACGGCTAGTAGGAGCCCAAACCAATTTTTTTTTAAAAAAAAATTGAATCGGACCCGGGCCGGGTCACAATAATGCTGAACCGAGCCCGCCCCGCCCCTTCCCACCGGTTCGGGCCCATACCCGGTCCCGGACCGCCCGACCGGGCCGGTCCCGGGCCCGCACAGTACCGGGCCGGGCCGGGCCGGGTCACGGGCCGGGTGGCCCGAACCGAATCCATCCCTAGCACCAAGTAAACAATCCTTTGTTGAACCATATTGAGAAGCGAAATTTTCAATTACCAACCTTCTTCATGTTCAAACCTACTTCAGTAAATGTGAATTATTTACTGTAATAGTATCCTAAGTTGCTATTACATTTTTAGTTGGTGTTATTTGTAGTACTATCTTAATTAGTGTTCTTGTATCACTTGCTTGAATTTGTGTTAATTATTACAAGTTTAGATGATAGTAAAAGGAGATTGATGTTAAATTATTACCTCGTACATGTTTAGATCTTAATTAAATATACCAACTTATTGAATGAGTGAATTTGGTGAATATGAAGTATTGAATGGGTGAGGAGACTGAGAGCCCTCATCCTACGGAGAACATGCAATTTTCAAAATGCATCAGAAAATTTGAAGTCACTGATAGTAGCACCAAGTCCTCACATTAACGAAGCCAACTGCGCTAAGGCAAATAAGGTGGAAACACTTGAACGGTGTCTCAAACATATAATGAGGGGATGAACTACTCGATGGCTCAATCCATATATGAGTGCTTACACTTTGTCAAGAATATTATTTTTAAGCAAAAGTATCTTTCTATGCATGTCCACTCTATATATACGTATGAGTACTTATTTGAGTGGTTATTATCTTTCCATATTTGACTAGATATCCACTCATTAAATATTGTTTAAATACTTTATGGAAAGTATCTTTACTTAATGTGAGTGCATGATCCATATTTTATTGGTTATATACGTAGCATGCTTGTAATTGACTAACAACTATTTATTGACATACAATTTGAAAAGTCATTCTTGATTTGAATATCAAATGAATATTTGTGGAAAGAATCATGATTTACGTGGCACATCTCTCATACATGACTAAGCATTTACTTTAATGACTTAACCTATAATAATTGACCGTAACATTTTTATATATGCAAAGAGAACAAGTTATCTTTCCATAAAGGTCAACTGAAAACTCTTTTGGTAAGGATATTGATGTAGCGTGACTTAATTGCATGAATATTTTATGAGGTAATTACCTAAATGGGAGTAAACACATCTTTAATTGCCAAAATAGGACTAAAGTTTAAAAATTCCCAAAATAGGAGTTATTAATTGTAATTGGACAAAAACACCCCTGAAGCTTGGAAATCCTACTGCCACTGACAGAACGCCGGACCGCCTCAGGTCGTCGGCCGCCGCTGACGGCCGCTGCTGCAGAATGGTCGCTGCTGCAAATCTGGCCACCGACACCGTAGATCTGGCCACCGTCACCAACCCCCGGCCGCCCCTACAGATTTGACCGCTGTCACTACAAATCCGACCTCCACCGCTGCAGATCCGGCCAACGACACCGGTTATGCCAACATTTTATCAAAATGCCATCATAAATTGAGAATGCCATCTAAATGGCATTTTCAAAGGAAAACATGAAATTTTTGAAGAGGATGAATGCCATTTTTATGGCATTTTCAAATCAGATATGGAACTTTTTTAACAACCAAATATGAAACAGAATTTTGGTCCTGCAACGAAAAGATGAATCAGGGATGCCACTGTAATGGCATTTTCAAAGGAAAATACAAAATTTTTGTAAAATAAGAATGCCATTTTGATGGCATTTCAATGTTGAACTTGGTATTTTTTACCAATCAAAGAAGAAATCGAGCATCTGCAACAGAATAGAAGAGGGAGAGAACTATAGAAGAGGGGAGGAAGGAGAGAACCTACCTTCGAAGAAGAGAAGATCTCTGACGGCGACGACGACGGTGGCGATGATGACTATGACTGGGCAGTGGCGGAGGACTTCACGTCAGCGGCGGCGGGCTCGAAGCTTTGGTTGTTCCAGTGCGAAGTGGAAGGGAGAAGAAGGTGTATTGCGCAGGGGGAGAAGATGCGCAGGGGTGCACAGGGGAGAAAAAGAAACGGTGAGAAAGAGGGGAAGGGGAAAGAATAAGGGCAAATGGGTAATCCAGTCCTATTTAGGGCAAAAAAATATGATTAGTCCTATTTAAGAGTTTCAAGAAGAATTTAGTCCCTTTTAGGGCAATATTTCATATTTTATTGCTACTTAATATCCATTGCATATTTACATGATAAGTGAATCCGTGTTTCCTTATATAATGCGTTGATTTACTCTTGATTTAACGAATAAAAGAGAAACTACTAGAAGGAAAGTAATTCAAAAATATCAAGGAAAGTCTACCAAGCTTCCAAGGAAAGGAGAATCAACGACATCTTCTGGGTTATATATAGTCGAAGATCAAGAGAAGAAGAGGTGTGCTTGACCGAGCAATTACAGAGAGAAATACTTAAAAAGAATCATCAAGACCAAGCCATCTGGACCTACTCACGAAGTTCTAGATATAGTTTCTTTTCCCTTCTTTATCTTGTAACCAGCTTTGTTGTAAAGCTGAGAGGCTCTCTACCCGCAAGGTAGAGATGCATAACTCTTCCTAGAGAGGATAGAGTTGGGGTGGCTCAAGGGTAGATTAGGAGAATTTACCTTGTAACTACAAAAGGCTTTTTAGTGAAATTGTTTAAAACTCCTTCGAGGGTGGTCGATGTTTTTTAATCCCTTTGAGCCAAGGGATTTTTCCTCATTAAATCCTTGTGCACCTTACTATTTTGCAATTTCCTGAAACCCACATTAGAACTGTGCGAAAAATTGACACGGTTCCCCACACACAATTCACCCCCTTTTGTGTTGCTAACCGTTTCATCCATATATGACCTCAAATAGCGTTTACAGGAGAATAAATCTTAAAAACATCTCAATTACACTCTCACAATACCCGGATGAAGGCCTCGTTCAATAATTTAAACCCAAGTAGAATTAGCCTAAGGTGGATTGAAATGGTTACCCACATTGCCACATATATACCTCGAGACAGTCATACTTAGACAACATATGCATGTACAAAGAGTATGAAAAAAACAAAGCGTTCTTCCACAAAACAAGAGACACAAAGTCACAATTACAGCTAAGAAAGAAAGAGTAAGAATAACAATAAGACAGGAACTATCTAGTCTATATTTTATACATGTCAGAAAAAGCTGAAAATGAAACCATTCTTGATCATCCATAGACTTGAAACCCAATTATTTATGGCTTTGATGTAATGCAGCCCTCTCCCTCTTTATGGCCAATTATGGTTTTGCTGTAATGCAGGCCTCTCCCACTCTCCTCATTTCCTTCACAGACAAAATTTTTGGGTCAACCAAAGTCTTGAACTCATAAAATACGAGGTAAGGGTCAGTTTGATCCTTGAAGTTGCATAAAAGGGGTCAAATAAGTCCTTATATCGTCGTTACTGTCCGGTCGTCGCCATTTGGGACGGTTCCCGGTGGAATTTTTTGATAAAATTTTTTGAGCATCTTATTCATTAAGTCTAGTTTACTCATACCAAATTTGAGCTAAAACTTAAATCGGAAAGGCATTCAAATGAAGTCTTGAAGATAACTGCGCTTTTAAGTGCTGAGTTATCTTCGAGACTTCATTTGAATGCCTTCCCGATGAAAGTTTTATCTGAAATTTTGTATGAGTAAACTAGACTTAATGAATAAGACTCTCAAAAAAATTTCATTAAAAAATTTCACCAGGCACTGCCCCAAATGGCGACGACCGGACAACAAGGACGTCATAAGAACTTATTTGACCCCTTTTATGCAACTTCCAGAACCAAACTGACCCGTACCTCCATAAAATACTACTCCATATATTGAGATCTTGAACTACTTCTCCTATCAGAATAGAATCAGAGATCATAATAAAAAACAAGTAGTTGCCTGGGCTCTATAACCCAAGACTTTCGCCCACACATTTACATACAAGTCTTTTATAAATATATGTCCTCTATCATCTTTTAGTTAGTCATTTTTTACGTAATATATTTATCTAGAAAAGTAATTACAAATACGTAGTATGAAAATAGTACAAATATGTGTTTTGTTTAAAATACCACCATAAAATTATACCAAGTAAAATGTATAAAATTTTCAAAATACTCCGTATATTAGTCATTGACCATAGTTATGACTAGAAAATTGCTAACTAAGAAAAGGAGGAGGTATTATACGTACAGATGTCCGGCCAAATTAAACTCGAACATGAAATGGCTGATGGCTCGATTTACTTTCATCGAGCCAGAAGAATCCAGTCAACAAATTGGCAATTGATCAGTTTGGGACACGTGCTTTTACCGAACGCTTCATCCTGACCGCAATAGCGCCATTATGATCACTAGGGCTGGTTTAGGTTCAGGTCCCGAACCGATCTGAACAAACCAAAAACCGAACCGACATTTCGGTTTTACTAAATATCAAAACCGAAACCGAACCGATCATGAATCGGATACCGATTAGTCGGGACCCAATTTTTCAGATCGGTTTATCAGAAACCGATAAAAAATCGAAATATTTAAAAATAATATAAATATTGTACTAGTTTTAACAATACCAAGCCCAAAACAAGTTTATGATTTTTATATTAATTTGATCACACAACTACACAAGCCCATCGGCTGAGAGCTTATTAATTAGCTTTAACCAACTTGAAATGTTTTTATATAAAGAATTTTGGAAGTGTAAACCATCTCTTGTCCGGTGTGGGACAAAGAGACATTGGAAAGAAAATTCAAGGTCCAAACAAAAAAATTCCCTTGGGGGAGTCGAATATTAATTTGCCAGAATGCTTGGTTTGTCACTTTAGATCTCGGAATATTAATATAACTTTTCTAATTATCATTAACTCTACTAAAAATGTCGGTTCGGTTCGGTTTGAACCAACTTTTTAAGAATATAAACCGAGTCCGAACCGTTTTTTTTATCGGTTCCCAATTTTCGGGTCCCATTTTCAATCGGTTCGGATTGATTCGGGTTTTTTCAAAGTGGTTCGATTTTTTTCGGTTCGGTTTTCGGTTTTTCCGTCTAAAATGCCAGCCCTAATGATCACTCACAGCGCTTGCTTTGGTCAATCCCGGTCCTCGGTCAGGCGTGTCTTCATCCGGGCAGGTACCTCTCACTGTCTCAGATCAGCACCTGCACGTAGCCATGGAAGCCAGGAAGAGCAGACCTGCAAAACAAACAAGACAAACTGTCACTGCATAGTTAGAGAACCAAGTGAACGGCTTCCACTTCGCCGTCTCCACGCTGGAGCTCTTCATCCTCTTCCCGCCGACCGCCGTCTGCTTCGACAGATCGAAGCTCGCCCCTTTCATCCTCAGCTCCTGCACACACCTCGTCACTCCCCTGCTCTCGCTCCTCGCCCTCTGCACCTGCCCGCACATCTTCCAGAACCGGCGGAGCTTCACGTGTACGAGGAAAGCGATGAACAGACAAGTGGCCGTCAGGGCAGCTGGCGGGATGATCCACCATTTCCGGCACGGGCCCTGCTCCTGCTGCTCTGGGTATGAGGTGAAGAGAATGGTGAAGAATATTCCGGAGAATGTGAAGATCAGAAGGCAGAGCTGGAAGATCTCGCGGCGGAGCGCGTCCAGCCTCGCTTCTTTGACCGCGATTTTGCGGCCGAAGAGGTCTTCTTCTCTCTGCAGAAGCTTCAGCAGTAAGAGGTGCCCCGGGCTTCGCGAGATCTCCATTAATGGGTGGTGTTGAATCGCAGAGGCGCTCTGTTTCTTTTCATCCTCTGTTTCTACTGGGATTTCAACGACGTGGGTATCTTTTTTCATTTCTGCCATCGCCTGATCAGATGGGATCTTGATTATTAAAAATAATGAAAACAGGAAGAAGTAGTTAAATCTGAATGTATGTAATTGGGAACTTGATTTCAAATCAAGAATGGTAAGAGCTAGAAATCAGAGAAGTTGAAGATACAGTCAATCTAAGAAAGAAATTTGCTTTTGTTGTTGCAGATAGAGGCAAGCTCCTCCGATTATTTAACTCTGGGACTCTTTCGTAACGGTCATATTCGGGGAGCTTAACGGCCTTTCATATTGGAAGATGCTTTCCAACGGCTATAATTTGACAATTATGTCTTACACTTGCATATTCTAAGCCCCAACGGGAGAAATAATGGGATATAACATGATCAGGTTACTTGCGGATTATATCATTTTCTTTGAAATAAAAATAAAATGTTTTACAATTCAAAATACAGGATTATTGTATTTTTATTACTTAAATATGGGTGGTTATCGTGAACTTTTGAAAATATTATTATCTTGAAACTTGGAAGTCTAATAATGTCAAAACATGATCATAATTATTTTTAAATGTGAGTAGCTATATTTTGAAATTTACAAACATTTTTACTCTAACTTTGGGTAATTTTGTGATCTAACACTGTTTAAATAAAATCTGAAGTACTAATGTTGAGTATGATAGTTGTATAAATCTTATTGGTGCCATAATTTACCTCCGAAATATCCCTTCAACTAACTCAATTCATTTGATAGCGCATAACTTCGCCCAAAAATTCTAGTTGTACACACTTCTGTGTACACATTATACATATGTATGTGAATTGAATACGTTATGTTTTTATAGAATTAATTTCACTTTTGGTCCTATGAGTTTTGTGTCAATTCCACATTTAGTCCACGTCTTTCACTTTGTCCATTTTTGGTACTTGATTACTGTTTTTTAACCGTTTGTGGTCTTTTTTTGGCGATTTTAACCATCGGAAACAATGCCGGAAGGACCATATATAGACGAAAACACAATAGTCATGTATCAAAAGTGGACAAAGTGAAAAATGTGGACTAAATGTGGAATTGACCTAAAACTCGTAAGACCAAAGGTGAAATTTATTCTTTTTTATATATAAATAACTTTGCTCACATACAAAACATATTCACTCATAAAAAAGTATGCACAAACACTTTTTTCCAGCTTGACCTACTTAAACATAGCCATAACGTTGTGTCATATCAACCACATGTTTTCATGAAGTTTGAAAAGTTTGACATTAGACGTAGTTTTATCCAATGTTGTGCCTTTTTGCGCACACTATACTTAGAACCACCTCACTGAGAAATTGTTTGAATCATATCGTGATTTACTCTCCACCATTGTCGAGTTGGGTGTAAGGGAGCCCGCAATGGGTCATTCCACATTTCCACCTATTGAGTTGATGAAATGGATATAAAGATTTTGTTATGCTATTCATTCATTTAAAAAGACGTGTTTCCAAACTAGCATTATCCTATGGAGAAATATCTTTTTAATCACGCAATGAAATGTGACACGCAATAATATTATTTGTAAACGTCAAACTTTCATGTATATCTCGATTATATCTGTATATAGCTTCTTATTTAATGTGACACAATTAATTCAAAGATAATTGAAAACATGCACTATGAGAGCCATTAATTAATTATTTGTGAAATGGGCATTGCTTAACGCTGGAATCAGATATCTTTGTGCCTTTGAGAAGCCCACCGAAAAGCTCTGCTGGGTCATAGTATATCTCCACTTCCTCCGCCCTCAGAGAGTCATCCACCTGCAAAGATCATAACCACACATGCATGGAAACATTGAAGATAGAAATGATTTCCATATTAAGAAGTTAATTTCAAAGTTTGTTTGTTGATTTCCCACACCGGATAATTGTGAAGGCATTAGGTGCTATATTAAGATCTGAATTACTCCTCCTATCAGGTTGACATTTTAGGATGGAACCCCGGGCCTTAACACGGTATCAGAGCCAATTCGATCCATGATGTGGGCCATCTTATGAAAATTGATTGACACGATTATAAAAAATGACAATGACAAATTGACGAAAAAAATGAATGACGACACGATCCAGACGAAGATTCTAGTCATGAGGAGGGGCGTTAAATCCCACGCCGGAAATGTTTGAGTCAACGAAGTGCTATATTAAGAGCATGGGCTACTCCTACTATCAGGTTGACCTTTTACGATGGAACCTCAGGTCTTAACATTGTTTTAGTTTGATCTATTCTAAGACTGAAATCAGTTTTAAAACAACATTAATTTTATGTTAAATTAAGAGAACGAGAACTATTAGAGAGAATGAGAACTATTAGACCATCAGAAATAGAGTAATATATTTGCATTGTCTCACTAAGATTGTCTCATATAATTATTCGGTTCATTTCACTAAAATTGTCTGATCTCAATTTAGTAATGTTTGTGTATTCTAAATAGTTCTTACCTTGTTTTTACTTTATCAGTTGAATCCAATCAGAAATAGAGTAATTATATTTGCATTGTCTCACTAAGATTGTCTCATATAATTATTCGGTTCATTTCACTAAAATTGTCTGATCTCAATTTAGTAATGTTTGTGTATTCTAAATAGTTCTTACCTTGTTTTTACTTTATCAGTTGAATCCAATCTTACAAACTTACTTTTCTTAGTAATCGGATCATGAAACGAAGATAGTATGAACGAACCTACCTTCATGATTCCCATCCCGTAGAACTCAACTAACTCTCCGGTAGGAGAATTGCCCTTGAAGGGTCCTTCAAAATAACCCCAATGCCTAAACTTGAAAGCAATCACAGGCGGCCCTGAATATACTTTCATGACCTCCCACGCAAATCCCCGGGGGAAAGCAGACTGGAAGGCATCGTGAGACGACTCAAAGCTCTCCTCATCAGCCTGGTAAAACTTCAGCTCTTCCGGCAAAGAGCTCTTCAATAGTGCGTTGTAACTCCCAAGCTTTAAGGTTTCTTCACCTGAGAGTCCATCTCTCCCTGATCATCAATATTCAATGCAATAGTCAGTATAAACTATAACCAAGAGTTGACGAATACAACCTTTTTGTACCTGATCTATACCATAGTCAGCATAAAAGTACTCATCATTCATCATCATCATCATTACCCCAGTGCCGCAAAGGCTCCCACCTACGGTGGGGTATGGGGGGTCGGATGTACGCAATCTTACCCCTGTACTAAAGCACAGAGAGACTGTTTCCGAATGACCCGTAGTGAAAATTGCATCGAAAATTGCATAGGCTGACTGTTACTTCATAACAAAGAAGCGCAGACAGTTTTGTCAGCATAAAAGTACTCCTTGTATATTTTAATTCAAGTCATATTTTATTCATGATTTAACAGATGTCAAATATACTTCATCAATTTGATTTGGATCAGGTACAAAAAGCTAGCATTATACATTTTCCACGATTTGAATTTGTAAGGAATATTTGTATTTAGATTTTGATGATGCTAGATCAATTAGGACTTTAGAGTACCCCTATTTAGACTTAATGTATTAGAATTTTCATTTGTAAAGTTCTTAGTGTAATCGACCTGGTAGATTACCTTCAGAGCAGAAGACCTTCTGAGCAGAAGGGCTCCAAGAGCAGAAGACCCTTATAAGGCTTTATTGAAACAGAGGACCTTTGGTTCTCTGCTCCAGAACAGAAGACCTCAGGGTCTCTGTTAGCCTTTACTCTGACAGAAACCCTTCTGGGTCTCTGTTGGATATATTCCCAACAGAAGTGCACCAGACCTCCTCTGTTCAACTCTCAGTCAAAGACACCAGAAGGTCTGACACTTAGAAGAATTCCACTAAGCCGGGAAGTCAACTGAAAGATTCCTTCAACGGCTAGGAGTATTGAACGGAAAAGCTACAGTGCACGCATTAAATGCTCATTTAATGCTCCCCATGCTCCGTAGAGTAATTGCAGATGATTGACCGCAATGTCAGGATTACTTTATCCCAAAATAGTAACCTGCCAACTTTACCGGGCTCTACTGGTCAAGTCAACTGATCGCTCATTTAATGCAGTTGTCCTCCTACTCCTCCAACGGGAAGACAACCTCAGTATAAAAGATACACTACGAAGAACAACCGAATGACTTTGCAATTTTTGCTAACCATTGCTACAACTCTTCATACAAGAAATTCAAACTCTGAAAAGCAAAAAGCCTCCTTGAGATTAACACTTCATCATCCTCTACAAGAGAAGGCAGAAGTTGGAAAAATACTTTTTCCAACTCAAGCAAAGTTCCAAGTGTTCTTCAACTCTTCAAGCTCATCACATACAAATCCTTTGTAACGAAGCTAGTTGGAGGAACCCCTGTTTCAACAGAAACTCTTCTTGCTACAAGAAGGACGTCCAAGTAACTGGAGTAGTGAAGTGGTGATACTTCCAGGAAGCTCAGTGAAAGGACCAGTCTTAAAGGAAGCCAGGCAGTGCATCCCAGGAGACATCTAGGCTTGAAGAAGACGTGGAGAGCTTCTTAAGTGCTAGGACTAAGGCGTTGTAAACGATCGTTTTTACAAGCTTAGTGGAACAGTGGATTAGAGGAACAAGTTGTTCCTTGAACCACTATAAAAATCCCTGGTGTCATTTACTTACTGCTTTAATATTTGCACTTAGATAGAACTGTCTAACTCCTTAGACTTGGTATCTGTGTTCAGCAGAACTTGTCCTACGAGTTAACAGAAGGCCTACTGCCTTTGCTTCTCTGAGGCTAAATCAACAGAACTCCCTACCAGAACCCCATCCGCTGCCAGTCTGTTCTGTCAACAGAACATGTTATTCTGTAAAATCTGGTACTTAGTTTAAAAAGCTAAAAATCCAATACAGTCTATTCACCCCCCCTCTAGACTGTATCCAGTATAACCGGGACCAACAAGTGGTATCAGAGCCTCCTTGTTCTAATAATCTCTTGGGTTATTTGCTGAACAAAGATCCACTTGTTTTTCTGTTATTTTCCTCATTTTAATCTGATATAATGGATCACTCCTTGTCCAAGAATCTTATGTTTTCAGATCTTAAGTTTGATGACTGGAGGATCCGGATGAAGGCACATCTTTATGGCTCAACAGAATCAGGTGAGCCTTCTGTAATGCCTAGCACCAGTGTTGCTAAGGCAGATAAGGTCATAGTGCCACTGAATTCTAGACCCATTTGTCAAGCTAGTGTATCTGGCACCAAGGTTGTTCATGAGGAAGTCAGACCAGAAAAGAGAAAGATAAAGGTTCAACAGAAACCCTTTTTGAAA